AGTCTATTCTTTGAACAGAGACAAATACATTTCTCTCCTTTATTCAGTGGTAACCCCAGTTGTTAATCCAGTCATATATTCACTAAGAAACAAAGAAGTAAAGGAAGCTCTCAAGGACTTTATTGGAGGAAGTAGAAGATTTCCAAGAGTTCAACATTAATATCTAAAATCTCTTAAATTACAGTTTCATGGGTGGGGAGGGAAGATTGATTGAAAAATATTTGGCAGGAACAAACATACATTTGAACATTTGTGGGAACAGTTACTGTATATAATGCATAGAGGCTGCAATCGAGAAGACATGATTCTGTGGTCCTATAAGGTGACAAGGTTTAATAGAAGGTTCCTAGAATGACTATGTCAAAATGCACTGGGCAGGCAGAAATAATTGGAGACAAGCAGTCTTCAGATGCCCAGATCTTTCAAAAAGTCCATACGGTGAACTTGGTATTCTGTACTGCCTCATACTACCACAACTAGAGGTTTTGAAAACTTTTCAAAATAGTGACACATTCCACAAATTGTAGCAGTCAATCATGATGTCACAAATGCCTGAGTATTCATGTTATAAGCAGAATATAATCCTACTTTTACATGTTTACTAAGTATTCTGCATTACATAAAGGGAAGAAAGATACAACCACCTGAACACCATGAATGTTCCCACAATGATTGCAGTATAAGCTGCTATTACAAAAGAAATGCATAATTTGAAAAAGTTGCATGGCTTTGTATAAGAACAAGAAAAATACCAAGACAAATTTGAGTTGTTTAAATGATCACAGATGTCCTGCAAACTGATTGAATTCTAAAAACTAACATTCCTATAATTGGAATATTAGATGCATAACTACATCTCATGAGAATATCACCAATCTCTCTATGCAATCCCCAGTTTTCCAGGAAAGTGTAGTGGTCAGACTTGTACCCAACAGCATTCTGAGGTTTTGTGCTGAATTTTGAAATCATGTTCTGTCATGATCATCAAGTCATGATGTAAATTAGGCCTGAGCAATCAGAAAATGACTACACTGTAATCTTGCTCTTAAAAGAAAAAAAAAGAGGAACTAAATAATCGAACTGAGAAAGTTATGGCTGGACTGAGATCCTCAGAAAGAGTGAGGTCTGATGTTCAAAGACCATAAGGCAAAGTATGAAGCAGTGTGTAAACATGGTCATAACCAGGATGAGAAATAGAGTGAACAGTGTCGTTGTATACAAAAATGAGGTAGATTTTCTTTTCTGTTCCCTCTTGTCATGACTGATTGATTGATTGATTGATTGATTGATTTGGATTTTATTCCAAAAATCTAGCTTCTGCCAGGAATATTTCGAAAGCAAGCTTGGAGTAATAATGACAATGCCCCAAAGGTATCTTTCTTAATTGTCCCTTCATTTCATACCAAGAAATCTCCCAATAGCCCTGGCTTGGTTCCCAAGGCATGTTTATAACTGGAGCAAACTAATTGTCAGCGACCATTATGATGGTAGAAAGGAATAGGAAGTGATCCTTGTCACATATAGAACCGAAGAATAATTCCAAAGTTCAAGAGGGGAAAAATCAGAAATTTCCAAAATAACAGCTATGAAGGCAAGTATGCCATATAATCATTTTCTTCCTATATTTACCTGAACCATCAAATAGTTTTGAGGTCTTAATGAGGGTTAACATA